CACACCAGGGCTCCAAGCAGTGCCTGCGAAAACAACCAATGACCATGACATGTGCCCACACCCAGCTCAATGTGGCCTGGGCACCGTGCCCACCACCCACGGACTGGGTGGCCAGGGCACTCTGGGGCTGCCGTCTGTCTAGCAGCTCATCGGGAAGAAGGCAGAATGTGCCACTGAGGACAGAGAAGGGAGACCTAGTGGAATAGAAATGACCCTGTCCACCATGCTGTCCTGCTGGTCCCATGCACCCCACTAATCCAGGATAGATAACCCCCAAAATGCTCCCAAAGACCTTTCACCCACCAGCTCTCACTCCCTCAACACCTCCCCACTGGCCACCTCATCACCAAAAGAACTGAGTTTGGGTTCTACCCTCAGCCCCCAGGTCAAAGATCTCACACGGTGATATTGGTATCAGAAGTGCCTAAAGCTTTGGAAAAAATGAAGTAAGAATTTTCTGTTTCAAACAAACAAAACCCAAAAACCCCCTCCAAGGATCATCGGGAGTACCATTAGGAACAGAGGTGTTCTAGAACGCTGAGCCCAGGCAGCACCCAGCAGCTCCACCATCCCCAGAAGCCCCAGGGGAAGCCCATTGCTCAGAAGCTGGCCTGGCAGACCTGGGACAGGTCAATTCTCTGTCTCTCCGTGGTATCTAGCAGATCCCACTCCTGAAAGTCCCCAGGGGCCCGGGGACGAGGTTGGTGAGGCTCATACAGCTTCTGTCCAGGGGTCTAGGGCTTCCCGGCATAGGGGCCCCCGCCCTTCTCCCAGATGCAGGCAACCCCAACCCGCCAGTCTCCTTTCAGGCTACTGGTGTCCCATCTGCGGGCCTGAGATGCTGGGAAGAGCTAGGGAGCGCCCAGCATGCCAGGTCTTCCTGGCTGTCTCTGAGGACAGGGCTACAGGGAAAGGGTCGGAACAAAAGCATCATGAGTTCCCCTTGGAAAGAAAACCTTACCAGGAGCAACGATGGGAAAGCACATCAGGGTGGGTTAATTAAGGAAGCAGCAAAATTACCTTCCCTGGATGCCTTTAGAGACGGGGCAGAGGGAAAGGTACTAATCATCATCCTAGGCATTGACTACCTACCGAAATCTACGAAAGGTGGTTTACACAAGTCTACAGACATGACAACCTCTTCAGGAACCTCATAGCCCTAGAGCCTTTGAGTATAAACCCCACGGTCCAAAGGGAGAAGAAACTGTGTCACAGATCTCTGGGAAAGGCCTGACAGCTCCACATAGAGCCCGAGGAAGCAGGCCTGACTGGCAGGGGGTGGGTGCCTTCCTGGAAACCCCCACCTCACCCCTCCCACCACAACTTCAGAAGCTCAGGGAAGCGGAGCTTTCTGGGTGGAGCTCCCCTGCAGGCTAGCTCTTGGCGGCAGGGGGACAACCACATCAGCCAGGGGTTAGCAGGTGGGCTCTTCTGAGCTTAGCAGAAACATCCTGCACCCTTACTCCCTGCGATGGGCCCGCTGAGGATACAAATGGAAGGGACTGGCTCTCTTCTCTCCTTCCTTCCTCGTCCTTCTCAGTGGGCCCTTGACTTTCCCACTCAGATTCATGGAGCGGGAGAAAGGAATTTTGATCCAACTGGGGTTTTAAGATCCTCGTCTGTACCAACACCCCCTTTCATCTCACCAGACTCAGGGAACGCTTTGCCTTTAGACAATTTAAGAGTAAATGATCCAAAGCCAAATACCCTAAAACACTTTCCCTGAGGAGCCAAGGAAGGAACTTAGCATCTTCCTGCAAAGCTGACATCCCACTTGGCTCTCCTCTCCTCCATCCCCCACACTAGTCAGTCACGTCTGAAATCTCTCTCCATCTCCACGGCTCTACTCAAGTGCGGGCCTCCATTCCACTAGGATGACAACGACAGGGCCCCCACTATTTTCCCCACGGCGGCCCTTGCTACACCCAGAAGCATTCTCCACGAGCAGCCAGAGATTTGCTAAAATCTGGTCCTATCACTCCCTGATTAAAACGGTTTCTTGCCCTTTGAAGTTCACATTCCTTAGAACGGCTCACAAGGGCCTTCGTGACCTGTCCCCTGCTGGCCTCTTCCGCTGCTTCTCTCAACCCTCATTCCCCATGCACTGTCCCCCCGGCCTTACCCCCCTCCCCCACAATGTGTCATTCTCTCTCCAACCTCCAGGTCTTGGTCTGTGTCTCTCGCAGCCTTCCCCTTCCTCCTGCCTCCCCTGCATTCATCTCCCACCCAGACAGCAGCTCTCCTGGTGATCACTCCCAAGGCTGGACTTCCAGTCCCTCCTCTGTGCTCCCTGGGACCCCATACTGGCCCCTGTTGGGGAGCTCCTCAAATGGCACTGTCGTCATCTGCTATTGGACCGTCTCTTCCGCTAGACTATGAGTTCCCAGGGGCTGGGGCTATATCCTGCTCACTGCTGGCTCCCAGGACCTAGCACACAGCTGGTGCTCAACAAATGTCTGTTTAATGAGTGGAGTGGAATAGAAGATAGCAGAAGAAGAGCTGCTCCTCCCGATTTCTACTGGGGCTCCATGTCTATCTCCCTACTGTGGCTCACCCCTACTCCCAGCGGAATCTTGTGAGCAGTTACAGGGACACATGAAGGTGTGAGCCACGCATTCTGGACACACATCATGTGAGAAGGAAATGCGAGGGGCTGTCTCTCCCTGGGGCCTTCTGAACAGGCCACGGAGAGGAGCCACGAGGCCTGGTCTCCATCCGTGTGCAGAGAGAAGAGATGGCCAGCCGGTTCCCTCAGAGCTCCCTGGGGACAGGCAATGTGTGGACACAGTTGATGGATGACCTGACGGGCAGGGTGGCCGCCAGGAGCCGTCCTCGTGGGGCCAGAGTTGTCAGGGTACCCCGCCCAGGAGCCTCGAGGAAGTGGGAAGACTCTTCTTGGCACGGAACTGAGCTGAGAACTGCTGCCAAGAAAAGAAGCCGGAGTGGGAGGAAGAGGAGGAGATGGAGGAAGAGAGCTGTGGTAGAGGCCTCGGCGCTCCCACACCAGCCCCTGGTCTGTCCCAGGAGGCCAGGATGCCGGGCCCAGTCTGCTCCGGCCTGAGTCCCTGCCACCTGCCAGGGAGGAAAAGATGCGGGGCTTCTGCAGCCCTATGCTTCTCACTGTTCTCTCGGATGGCTCTTGGAGACTCATGAGGATGGAGCTTGCTGTGTGTCCCCTGCCAGACCCCCTAGGCATCAGCCTGGGGAAGAAGTCCTCTGGGCACCACTGGGCTTGCCCCACGGGGGCTAAAGCAAGCTGGCATCTCAGGGATACCAGCCCCAGCTGGAATGTGGACTCTACCGGCACCTCCAAAGCTGAACCATCCCCTTCCCCAGGGATGGAGGGGCAGCAGCCTGTTGCGAAGGGAGAGTGGCCCACAGAGAAATATGAGATGCCAGGATGATCCCTAGGCTATAAAGAGAAAACGAAATAGCATCTGGGATGCCAGGCCCAGGGCCCCACAGAGGCCTGTGCTGTGGTTCAGTGGGGAGCTGGCAACAACCCCCCCAGGGGATTCATTCTTGAAGAAGAAAATTCCATCTGTTAAAAATAACATTAGCTTGGGAGAAAGTAGACAGACATGGCAACATAGGATAGGCTTTGGCTCTGAGATAAAGACCACTCCCTCCACACTGTGGTTCCCTGAGCTCAGTCTACTCCGGTGACTGACATGCAGTAGGTACTGTATGTGAGTTTCTGGAATAAATGAGTCCAGGTCCTGCCCTGGATTCCATACCAGGCTCCCTCCCACTCACTACCCCTTCCTGACTAGCAAAACTGCCTGACCTCCACCGGGCTCAGGGTAAAGGAAGGTCTGGAACCCACTGCCAGTGCTTCCTGCCAGACTCTGACCCTGACGCTCCCAGGCCCTCCAGGCCCTCCATGCTGCTAGGCTGAGCCGCCATCTGAGCATCCACTTCCCCTCCTGGGGAGAAAGCTAGCACCAGGACTCTGCCTGCTTCCTTAGCATTTCCTCCCACTTCTGACTTTGACACATCTGGCTGGCCACTTAGTGCTGAAAGGTGCTGGCCAGGCTATGCACTGGGCCAGATCTCTGCAATCCTAAAACCCACAGCTAGGAGACAGGGATGGCCAGAGGCCAACCTGTCCTTCATGTTCTGTCTCCAGGTGGAACATTCCAAACTGATACGTTGCCACCCTATCAAAAGACCCCTGGGGTTAGAGATCACTGTTCCCCTGGAGACCCTCTCATACATAGAATCTAAACCTTCTCTGCTCCTATGTCACCCCTCCCACTGCCGTTTTGTGTGGGCAGGATAACAGCTGGGGTCTCAGGGACAGTCAGGTCTTACCATTTCTGTAGGCTAGATACGTTACGTTTCCAGGTGTTTTCTTCCCCCAGGAAAGGTAATAAAGACTCTTAGAGCCCAGGTGATCTGTATAAATCAGGTCCAGTCACTCCCCCGCTTCAAACCCTACAATGGTCCCATTTCACTGGGACAAAAATCTAAACCCCTATCGTGACTTACAAGGTCCTCCATGATCCGGCCCCTGCTTATCTCTGCAACCTTACCTCCTGGTCAACTCCTCATTCAAGGGCAAGAGGAGGTCTGAAGTCATCTTACCCAAGAGCTAGCAAAATGGTCTCACAGCCCAGATGTTCCACGACAGCCCTGATTTGAAATAATTCATTTTTTTCTTTCAAGTCTAAATAAAATGGTAATTCTCTAGTTTAGTCCAGATGTCGGGCTGGACTAGTAGTCGTCCAGACTGCCTCTCATCTGAAGTGGCACGCATCAGCCTCCGTGCCCCGATTTAGGGCTCAGGAAACATGGTGCCCAAACCCTTCACCCTTGTATCCTGAAGCCTGTATCACCATGGACCACCCCATGCTAAGGTCGCTCCTCCCAGCAGGCCAGGCCACGTGTCCCTGGGGCCAAGGAGTGGCGCGACTTCTCCGCTCCAGGGTACCCCATTCATCTACCCAAGCACGATTCCCAACCCCTGCTCCCGCCCAGCTGCCCAGGGGGACACTCACATCGGCTGGCTCCCTGCGGGGTCCGTCGCCACTCCGCAACCAGCTCCGGCTCAGCTCGCTGAGCTCTGGAATGGGTTGCACCTTGAGCCGCACGCTGTCCCCAGACTGCCGGATCATCTCCACGATCTCATCCCTGGACTTGCTCTCCACGTTGTGCCTGTTAATCTCCACCAGACGGTCACCTGGCACCAACCCCAGGGCCACGTCCTTGGTGCCCGCGCCGGGCTCAGCGAAGTGAACCACCCTCCGGTAGACCTGGCCCTCGGGGCCCCGATCCAGCATGGTCGTGCGGCGCAGGGAGAAGCCGAAGTCTCCAGTGGGCCTCCGCTGCAGCTCCAGCTCCCGGAGGGCGGGCGGCGGCAAGGGCACCACGGGGGGCAAGCGCAGGTCAGCCGGGAACCTTTTAGTCACCAGCTCAGGGACTCGGGAGCGGGGCCCTGGCCGAGGGAGGCCTGAGCCAGGATGCTGCACCAGCTGTCCCTCAAGAGTCCTCACCTCCACCTGCGGGGATGGCGCCGCAGAGTGCTCGGAGGGGGTGGAGGTTTCTGAGGCGCTCTCATCCCGGCTCCGCTGGGAGAAGGAGAAGCGTTTGACAATCATCTGTGAGTTCTGCTTGGCCAGGGAGCCGAACTTGGCTGCCCGCTGCAGCACAGAGCCGCGGAAGCTGCCTTCCTCGCCCTTGAGGTCATCGCTGGAGCTGGCGGTGCTCAGGTGGCCCGAGTCCAGGATGACACTGCCCCTGTTGCTGTCGGAGTCGATGTCGGTCAGGTGCAGGTCGGAGCCACTGGCCACCTTGATGGGGATGGGGTTGGAGATTTCCAGGCGTGTCTTGGACTCACGCTTGGAGGAGCGGTTCAGATTGAAGAAGCCGCGACGCAGGCTCATCTCCTCCAGGCTCCGCAGCTCCGCCGCCGACATTCGCTCCTTCTTCTCCTTCTTCTCCTTCTTCTCCTTCCGCCCACCATCTTTGTCCTTATCTTTCTTCATTAGGTTAAACATGGTGGGGTCCTGCCTTTGTGGGGGGGCACCCCCGGAGGATCACGGGTGCTTAGCACAGGGCCCTCGTACCCCGCCTCGCTGCTGCAAACAGAAGCAGAGAGAGAGAGAAAGATGATTCGAGCAGAGCCTCTTCCTGTGTCTCCAGGCCAGACAAGGCCAACGAATGAGCACAGCTCCCCTTCACTGAGAGGGGGCTTACTCTGTGCCAGGTGCTCGGCTTGATACAATACCATCTCTGTTAAGTTAATCCTCATAGCCCTGCTATGGGAAGGTCTGTGATTACCCCCATTTTACAAATAAGGAAACTTGAGGTTTTGATAAGGTTGTAAAAGCGCAGACTCCAAAGTCTGTCATCGCCTTTCATCCCTGACAGGTGTGCACCGCGGTGGCTCCTGGGAGCTCTGACCTCCTGGCAGGAGGGTGCCATCAAGCCGACCTGGGGCCTGACTTAAGATTCAACACACAGGGGGCGCCTGGGTGGCTCAGTCGTTAAGCGTCTGCCTTCGGCTCAGGTCATGATCCCAGGGTCCTGGGATGGAGCCCCGCATCGGGCTCCCTGCTCTGCGAAAGCCTGCTTTTCCCTCTCCCACTCCCGCCTGCTTGTGTTCCCTCTCTCACTGTCTCTCTCTCTGTCAAAAAAAAAAAAAAAAAGATTCAACACACAGGAAGAAGGAAAGGGACACAGAAGCAGCCTTAGCCACTGCCTGGCAGAAGACCTCAAGGCATCAACCCTCATTTTCATGATTTCCACTTGCCACGTGCGTTACCCACACTCTTGTTTGCGCCCCACGGCATCCCTGCAAGGCAGGTGTCATTATCTCTACAAATGAGAAAACAGGGCACAGAAAATTAAGTATATGTTGTTGTCCCACGGCTCAGCGCCGGCAAATACTGTTTCCTCTCTGGGGCCCTGGCGCCCCAAGTGAAGCAGGGAGGGAAGGGAAAGTTCCAGACTGAACAGAGGACAGACAGCTGAGAGGTGGGGGTGGGGTCTGCTGGATAAACAGGATCCTAAACTCATATCCTTTTCCCCAGACCAACAACTAAATATAGCCTCGGGAAGAAAGTTGTGGCAGCGTGAGAGACAAGCGAGGTCCGGGGCACCTGCACCCACGGTGCCAGCCTACTCCTACCCCAGCGCGCACCCGCTTGGGGACAGGTCTGAGAAAGACCTGGTGGGGGTGGGGTTCAAGCCAGGGAACAAGGAGCAGAAGTAGGCCATACCACCTAATTAGAAATTAAGTGCGATTTCTTCTCTCTCCAAGAAGTCCTCCCCCTCTGAGTTCGAGACACAGGACCGACAAGCTCACTCCTTCCAGCAATGACCTTTTGCGAGGCCCTGGAGAGGACTTCCCCGTGTACCCCACCGCCACGACCAAGCAAGGCCCTCCAGGCTCCCCAACCTACTGAGAGGGACCCCTGGCCCCAATACAATGCCTAGGAAGACATCAAGGCCAGGAACTCCCAAGGGTCCTGGTGGCCCTGACTAATTGCCTCCTCCCCGCCCGGCACCCTGACCCACGTGGCTCCTGAGAAATCAGTGTATGCTTCCTAGAGCAGTGCTCTTCACAGAAATACAATTCAAGGCTTAGGTGTGATTTAAAACTTTCTAGCAGCCACACTAAAAAAGGTAAAAAGAAACAGGTGAAATTAGCTTTAATGATATATTTTCATATAAATAGATCCAAGATATTGTCATGTAATCTACATGAAAAATATTGAGATATTTTACATTCTCTTTTCCATGTGAAGTCTGCATAAAAATCCAGTGCGATTTTTACACTCAGAGCACATCTTAATTCAGACTAACTACATTTCAAGTATTCAACAGCTACCAGCTATTGAACTGGGCAGTGCAATTCTAGAGAAATCTTTAATTATAGAGCATATCCAAAGAGGTGGGGAATCTGGCCCAGTTACTGCTCCCTGTGGACCTAACAGGCACCCCTTGCCCCCTCTGACCCATTTCTACCTAGTAAAACAAAGTTCCCTCTGAACTTTTTGGTTCAAAATGCTCCATTCACAGTACCTGGGAGTAGGCAGACAGGAAATCTAGGGTCCAGGAAGTGTGAAGCCAGGGGCAGCCCCGTCCAGCTGACTCTGGACTGATTTGGGGTGGCGGAGAACCTGACAGCAGGCCTCCTCTCTTCAGGGCTCTATTTTGACCTGAGGAGTCTCCCTCTCTCTCTCCTCCTGAATACTGATGGGGTGTGGCACAGACCTACCATATACCAGGACGTGGGATCTTCTGGTGGTCACTGCCCTCACCTATCACTTCCTGCACTGTCTTAAAAGGCTGATTTAGGGGCGCCTGGGTGGCTCAGTCGGTTAAGTGTCCGACTCTTGATTGTGGCTCAGGTCATGATCTCAGGGTTGTGGGATGGAGTCCTGTGTCAGGCTCCAGGCTCAACACAGGGTCTGCTTAAGATTCTCTCTCTCCCTCTCCCCCTACCTACCCTGCCCCCATGCTCGCATTTTCTCTCTCTCTCTCTCTCTGTCTATATATGTATTTAAAAAGGGGCTGATTTAGAAGATGGCTCCAAAGGCAGCTGTATGGGAAATGAAGAAAGAAACCCACCCTGGGGACTGGAAGGGGACGAGTCTCTTGGCCTCAGCCTCAGCCCAACCATGAGAACCCAACTGCCTACCATGCTATCCCACCAAGACACCTCTTTTGGTCTTCAGTTCTTACTCTGCAATCCTCACCCAATCCTGGCTCTTTGCCGGGGGCTAGGCATCTGAGCAGTATCAATGGAAAACAGGCCCCAGAATTCTAGAATCTTTGGGCTGGAAAGGTTCCTGAGAAGTAATTTCATGGAAATCCCTGTCTTGGCCAAGGCTTGCCCCTCACTGCCATTGAGGCAGGCAGGAACCACACACAGTCACTGCTAGAGCAACAGCATGGGGGAGGAGGGCAGCCACTGGCCAGCAAGGTTAGTGGGTCCACTATCTAGGCCTGGATCTGCCGACAAATCACTACGGGACCTTGAGCCCGTCACTTTGCTCAAGGTTGGACTGGATGATCTACGGCTCTTCTAGCTCGAAAATTCCAAATATCTAAGTCTCTTGTGGACACAAGTTATTTATTAACTTTCTGCCAAAGTTACCCCTCTCATCCCAACCCTGGAGCCTTCAGAGGCTGTCCATTTCAGCCCTCCCCTCGGCACCCCTGTCCTGCCAAAGCCATGCACACAGCTCACAAGGTACCCCTTCCCCACTGTCATCCCTACAACTGCCTGGCTGTGACCTGGGTTTTCTCCTGTGCCACCTGTCTGGAGCCACCTGCAACTTCGCTGTCCAGGGTCAGACCCTGGTACAGGTGTTGCTGTTCCTCTGCTCCTCAGAGCCCACTCTGCCAGGCACGGGGCTCCATCACCTTCCTGTAGACCTTGGACCTTTCAGCATCTCCTGTCCTCAGGTCCAAAGACTCTAGCAGCAATGACATCAGCACCTTCCCACTCTTCATTCTGGGCTCTTCATTCATTCATCTCTTACCCTCTCCAGTGAAGGGAACCTTACAGTTTTCTGACCTCCTTCTCTGCCTTTCTCCCCTCACCCTACTCCAGGAGGCCTTTCCTAATTGTACATGGAGGAAAGGCATGTATATAAATTAGGGTATGTACCTACATCATCTTGACCCCGCTGCTCCCCAAATCAGAGCAAAGTACAATCGACTTGGTCAACTCAGATGCCTTATTACTTTAAGACAGAAAGCGTCTTGAGGGCAAAGACCATTTGACTCAAATATGCATCTATCAGTTCATCAATGGGAGAAACAATTTACATACTCATAGAATGGAATACTACTCGGCAAGAAAAAGGAAGCAACTACTGATACACACAACAGGGATGAATCTCAAAAATATTATGTCAAGTGACAGCCAAAGAAGGCTTTGACAACAGAGTACCATATTGGTAAGGTACTATTTATATGAAGTTCTAGTACAGACGGTCCCTGCCTTACAATGGTTCAACTTAACAATTTTTTTGACTTCACGATATGCATATGTGAAAGCAATTTGCATTCAGTATAACTCATACTTCGCATTTTGAATTTGGATCTTTTCCTGACCTAGCAATATGCAGTCAGAGGCTCTCTTGTGACACTAGGCAGTGGCGGCAAGCCACACGATCACAAGGGTAAACAACTGATACACTTACAGCTATTCTATACCCAGGCTATACCATTCTGTCTTCACTTTCTGCATGCACAGTGTGCGATCAATTGCATGAGATACTCAATACTTAATCATAAAATGGGCTTTGTGCTAGGTGATTTTGCCCAACTGTAGGCTAATATTAGTGTTCTGAGCACATTTAAAGTAGGCTAGGCTAATCTATGATGGTCGGTAGGTTAGGTGTATTAAATGCATTTTCAACTTATGGTATTTTCAAGTTACGATGGGTTTAGCAGGAAGGAGGTAAGCCAAGGAAGATGTGAACAGATAAAACTAAGCTAGGTGAAAAAAATCAGAACACTGATTACCTCTGGATGGTGAGGACGGGGGTAAGGGTGGGAATTGCCTGAAAAAGGGCATGAGGGAACTTTCTGGAGTGATGTTCATATTACATTATCTTGATAGGGATTTGGGTTGACAGGTGTATACATTTGTCAACAGTTATCAAATAGCGCACATAAGATTTGTGCATTTCATTATGTGAAATATTCACTCAAAAGAAAAAAGAACTGTAAACAAATACTGAAGTCTGGTTAATGATATATATATACTAAGGTATTTCAGGCAAGATATGCTGATGTCTGGGTGGCTCAGTTGGTTAAGTGTCTGACTCTTGATTTTGGCTCAGGTCATGATCTCAGAGTCGTGGGATGGAGCCCCGTGTCCAGGTCATGTCTCAGGGTGTGGAGCCTGCTTGAGGTTCTCTCTCTCCCTCTGCCTCTCCCCCACCTCAAAAAAGTAAATTAAATAAATAAAGATAAATGAAACTAATGAAAGAGCTTCGGCTTCAGATGTCAGGTAGCAAACCTAGGACCAAATCCGAGGTAATAGCTATGCAATCTTGGGAAAGTCACTTCATACCTCTGTGCCTCTGTTTTCCCATTTGTAAAGTGGGGATAATAA